GATTCCAAGACCTTGGCTTCTTCGATTGCCTCCTTGAGGGTGGAAGCTCTTGAGTTCCTAACCATTACCATCATGTCCGCAGGTAGCCCTTTAAGGTAGGCTTTCATCTTATCTTTCTCCGTTGGGGCCACGTGTCCCACCAAGTTTAGCTTTTCCATGAAGAGTTGGGTGTAGTCCCTTACTGACAAATTTCCCTTCTTCAGGGTTCGGAATTCATCTTCGATGCGATCCATCTCCTGTTCATTGCAATATTCCTCCATTACTTTTTCCTTGAATGTGGTCCAACTCATCTTGGTCAATTCTGTAACCTCGATGGTCGAGATGACAATGTTCCACCAGGTAAGAGCTACACCCCTCAGCATTTGAGAGCCAAACTTCACTTTTTGCCCCTCGTCACAGTCACAAGCCCGGAAGGCTTGCTCGATTTCCCGGAGCCAATTCATGCACGCCACAGAATCGTCCGACCCCACAAATTCCGGTGGCTTGCAACATAGGAAGGTCTTGTAAAAGCAAATTCTACCCATTTGTCTTGCCTCAGTCGTTGCTAGCTCCTGGTTTGGGATTCCATTTCCCGTACCTCCGGACCCCCCCATAGTTATATTCTCAGCAACTGCTTCATGCTTACGAGTATTACCGTCTCTGTCCTCCAAAAGCTTCATAAAGAACTCTTGTTGTTGGGCCATGGCTCTGTTCATGGCGTTCATAATAGTACCCATCATTATTGATTCTGGGGTTTCTTCTTCCATTACGGGGTTAGAGGTGGCAAGGTCGACTTGAGGGACGTGGTCATCTCCACTACCCAAGGTGTTTTGCCTAGGAACAACCCTTGCGATGGTGGTTCGTGGCGGTTGATCCGCTGTAGATTCAGTTACCGCATGACCTTCCGGAGAGGTATTCCGTCTACTCCGAGTATTCACCATTAAAGACTGTCATACAAGAGAGTGAAAGAGGGTTATGATAGGACGAACACGGAATTAATCATAATACATACTGATACGTTCATAAATTCCTGTAATAACAGTAAGTTCAAGCACGCTTGTGTAATAACTTACTCAAAATGGCATTAGCTAAGTGAAATTTTGAATAGGTTATACATAAGAATTCTTAACACCATCGTCACAATTCATGAACGGGGTAGCTCCGATGACCGAAGTGCTTTCCTATCTTAAAAGTTTCTACCCACATCTCACAGTTAACACTTACAATCTCAGCTTAAGTCTAGGCGTCATGATCCCTTACCTAGTTCGCTTAAACTAGTGTTCTGATACCAACTTGTAACACCCTAAAAAGAAGAGTTAAATTAAACCGAAAATATTTAACGAGAATCAGGATCTAGAATTAAAATTCACCCGATAAGGGTAATAGTAAAGCGTTTACAAAACAGATACTGAGAAGATAAATAACAACCTACTAATCTAGATTATTCTATATCTAGATTAAAGACGGGTGTTTTAATCAATCTCCAAAAATATCGTAACCTCAATACGCATCGCTCAAAAGTACAAAGGCTATAACTACAAAAGAGCCTTTCACGAACCAACGCTCCTCTCAACCTTTTTGAGCCCCGCCGCTAAAAAAAAACCTGATATACAAGCCATATCAAAAGAAGTGTTAGGCTTACGCCTAGTGAGTTCAATTAATAACGTAAAGGTAACTATGAAGCCTTTATATATA